GGGGAAGGAAAAAAGGAAGCCTTTTAAAAAGCAGCACAAGTTTGCATGCAAAGTTACTGCTCAGATAAAACAGCGCCGTGTCCCTGGACTTCAAAGGGATCAGAGTTGCTTCTGAAGCTCTGTTCCCCCTGGCACTGAAAGAACATCCAGTCTGGTGCATTTAAAAACTACAGTCATGGGGAAATGTTCTCATTTTCTTCACTCACAGCTGTCTAATGGTAACTGGTCTAAAAAAACCTAAAGCATATTTTCCGCAGTCAAAAAAAGAGGATTAAATCTTGCCTGGTTTTCCAGGCCCAAACCAGAGGGTGGACATCCCATCAATAATTGATGAGAGAATTTCTGGACAAAACTAAGACACACGCCCAAGCTGTTTCACCAGGGCTTAAACCAATTCAAAATCCTAGCACATGTTCAACGTTCAGGCTTTCAACCAAGTACATGATCATTTCCCTTTATCACCTTGCAGTGCTAACTAACCACCCCAGAGATTACTCTGATACTAGTTTACCAAATACTAACTGCAGCAAGACTTTTAAAAATGAATGTATTTATCAAGTTCGATAAACACATTGTAAAATGCCCACTGTCACATCTTAAATTCCTAATGAATAAATGCCCTGGTCAGAGGGGAGGGAGGGGGAAGGTTCCAAACTGCACCCTCAATTTTGATACATCAATTATTTTGGGCACAAGTAAAATTTGCCTTATGGTGCAAAGGTGCAGGGCTGGTGTCTGCACCTCTCTTCCCAGCTCAAAGGTGAACACTTGCACCATTCTGGCATGCAGAAAAAAACCCCAACCTATTTTTTGCTGCTATAACCAGAAATAACAGCATCCCTGGGACATCTACCACGCTATTCACCCCTCCCCTCAACGTATTGGCAAATGTTTTTATGGAACTAACTCAGCCTGAAGCTTCTTGTAGCTGTTACAGCAATATTCTCAAACAAAATCTGACATGGAAATAGTGAGTACACGTCAAACTGCGAAGCAATTCCAGGAGATTCAGTAACACTCATTTGTCCATTGAGAAGCAGTTGCAAGCACTGGAGAAATGGTTCCCTTGTTACAGCTCCACAGAGACAAAATTCCTGACCACAAGCCTTGCTACATCACACAAAAAACAAAACAAAATAGTGATTCAAGAAAAACATGCCCTGACAAGAACAGCAGCGGTTTGGACTTCTGCAGAACTATACTTTTCCTAAGAAACAAATGTCTTCTAGACACAAACTTCACCTATTTGGAGCTTAACAGAGACTTATTTTTCTTTAACTACAGAAAAAAATGAATAAAAGCCTACAATATGACTTCCAATTTCATCAGCTCACGTTGACACATCAATTCTGGCACTGAAGACCAAGGTGTAAGTTTAATATCTAGGTGCTGTTACACACATGCACAATCAAACTGTTTTGCACAGCTGTGAGAAAAATCACCATCATCCTCCTTCAAGGTCTATTTATCTCATAACACATTCATTTAAGTATTCAAGACCTGCATATAGTGGTGCAGGTTTTGCATTAACTTATAACTTCTCTATTATTATATCATCGTGCACATGTAATTGTATTAAAATTCTTGTCAGATTTCTCGCTCTGGATAGATTAAGCCAAGCTCTAGCTGTTTCCTACCAAACCCCCCCAAAATAAAGACAAAGGTATGTTAAACTGCCAGGAAAAGCCAAGCTGTAACACAAGAGAGAAAGCTACACAGTGTGGGTAGCACCAACACACCAGGCTGTCTCACTATGTTCAAATGAAAAGATTTTTCTAAATCGAATAAAAAAATAATAAAAAGTAAAAAAATGATTTAAAAATCACATTTTAAAGCAGCTGGAAATTAATTCTAACCAGTTGTAAAAGGACACTGCAGAAGAGGAGCTGTAGCATACACTATGTGAAAAATATGCTCCTATTGCTCCAATTTGGAAGGGAACCGAAACATTAATAAGGGCGTTCCAGTAAGAATTAAAGATACAAGGAATTCCAAGGAGCTCCCCAGCATGTTTAGTAATGACTAATAATGTAATGTGGAATATTGTGCCAAATTTGGGAAGAACCGGATACTTAATCAACAAACATCAGTATTTGGTGGGAAAAAAGGTTGGCTGTAACCACAATCTTCCTTCCCTGCTTAACAAGGAAGGAAAAAGTTTATTGCGAGTCAAGGGTGCACTGAATCAATCTGTTGACAAATGACTCATTATAAATGGGGTGGGGGAACAGTCTTAGAAAATCAGCTTGAAATTTAGGGATATTTGATCCTCATAAATCAATTTCAAAAGCATCTACAAAAGCCTCTGGACAAGCACAAGTTCTACTGGATATTGTTTAGGCCTTAAAAAGCAAATTTCACAGCTCTTCTTTGAAAACATACTGGCAATTACGAGGCTGATCTTTATGAACCTCAATCAAATAAACAAAAAAAAACAAATCCCAAGACTTTATCGATTAAACCTAACTTCAGAGACAACTTCTGGAGCTACTGCTTTCACACACAGCACGCTTCTACACACCTTCCCACGTGCTCTGCTTCCCCTGCACCGCAGCAGCAAAGCTTTTTGGTTCCCATCTCCAGAGTCCAGCACAAGGGATACAAAGTCTGGACCTTCCACTCACACACACCCACGATTCCCCACAGCAAGAAGTGGGGAAACCCAGTTTGCTTTGAAGTTAAATCAGTACAAAGGAAGCAAAGTGGAAATGGGAATTACTGTTTCAGCAGGAGCCGAACACCTCTGTTCATGATGCGACCTCATTATCTCAATTATGATGAGTTCTAGCATCTTAGTCTCAACAAGGATACCAAAAAAAGGGAAAGCCAAAGAATATCAGGGTTAGAAAACATACCCCATAATTAGAGGCTCATAAAAGAAAAAGCAAAGTGAGTAACATGAGTTAGAAGAACAGTAAGCAAAGGCAAGAAGTTTCAAAGCAGCAAAGACGTAACAAGGAAAGATGGTTCAGTTTTAATCTAAGTTTAGACTACAGAAATAAGGCACGTGTTAAAATAGACAGTAATAATAATTGGAAAAAACTCATGATTTTCCTTCACCGTGAGGCTCTAATTTAAAAAGGCAACACAAGGATAGAATTTAATTCAAGCAGTATTCAGGGAAGTGCAACTGCACACACTGCTCTGGAAGCCTACCCAGATGATCAGAGTGGTTGGATGTGTGTGTGCACACATGCAGAAATCATGATTGTTTCCCACACAAACATTTACTTTCTGACCCCAAAAATACAGCAGTATGAGCAGATGTCCTACAGAATATGCCCCATTGGCTCTGGGATTTTTTGCCTCCGTTGTACGTTGCTCACTCATGACCTTGTTGGTCCTTCTCTGGTCAGAAATCCTCAGAACCCCAGCAGCAAAGTTACACTTCATTTCATGGGGAGTTCACCCTCTTCACTCATATCAAACACCTGGAAGATTGAAGCCTTGGGACAAGATAGCTTTATTCTAATCTTATAGAAATCATGTTTTTAAATATTCTTCATCAGTATAAACAACCTCTACAGCAATGCAGAGAATGGATGTTCTACTGCTTGTTGTGAACAGTCAGCAAATTCCTGTTTATTCATTTTGTTTGGTTCAAAGAATACCTAAATGTGATCCAGGAGCTTTTATTAGTCCTGCTTCTTCTTCGCTGGATTTGCAGAACGCAGCCAGGAGACCCAATACTGCAGCTACACTCATCATTGTAGGAGCTGGCACTATCAGGACCTAAACTCAAAAATCTGGTATTTTGAGTCACATCAAGATAGGAGCACTTCAGCACTTTTATCTACCACTTCAAGGAGAAAGCACGATTATAACCTTTTGGATTTTGCCTAAAAATTGTAATGCAGAACAAGTCAGCATAGTGCAATTACTAAAGGTCATGGGTCTGTGCTAAATAACTAAAACAAATTAATGTCACCTCCAATTGTTCCTGTGGTTAATGATCTCATCAGAAACCATCCAAAGAACATTGGACCCAAATGATTTTTCTTGAAAAATCAATGTAACAAAAAGAAAAACACACAATCCAGAAAAGACATTCCAAAAGGAAAATAAATATTGGATGAAACTCCTTGTTAGTCAATACAAGTCCAAGATCAGCTGATCAGTGCTGCAACAATTACCTGTGACAGAGGACACAAACTAATGAAGCACTATCTCTTCAAAAGCACCACGAGAACCAAAGAAATGAGGTAATTATGCATAATAGAATATAAAGCTGAGGCAGGAGGGAAAGAACTGAATTCTTTATAAGACATGAACTACCCAGTCCAATGATTGTTCAGTTAAAGAATTTCTGTCAACAGAAACTAGATTCTTTACGTGAACACTATCCTCTCCCCAACAAACTACAATACACAATAATTTCTTTTTTCTCATCTTGTGGATTGTTCAGTGGTTTGGTTGTCTTTTTTTTTTTTGAGGATTTTAATTTTATTCCAGTTGTCACCTACTTTTTAATACAGAATTTTGGCACTTGCAAATGTGCAAGGCACTACCTGCCAGGCACGTCCAATTTCAACTGAGATCCAGCATATTTCTTCCTTTGGCTTCTAAGAACTGTACTCCCTCCCTCTATTCCCCCACAAAAAACTTAAGGAGAACATAACTAGTTTTCCTAAAAAAAAAACACAACCAGGATAAACCTGGCAAAGATACATAGGAAACAAAATTTGTTTGCACATTTATTTCCTGCCCCCCTCCAGACACAGGTGTTACGTGTAACAATTAGTTATTAAGTTCTTCAAAATACAGTTATGACTAATAAGACATTTAAATATTTTTTAGCACAAATGTAGACTTAAAAAATTCCAGAAGATCCTTACAAGTATTCTGCTCTGCGTCGACTTTTTTTCTAATGGTTGCAAGGAAAAATCAAATGCTGCCTGAAAACAATCCAGTAACACCCTGCTGACCCAGTACAGGTTTGTTTTACTACAGTCATGGTTATTTGATATTGCCTTTTTTGAGCTTTACTCCTTGTACCAGAATGCTACAGAACGATAAATATGCTTAGTATTAGGAACCTGCCTGGTGCTGTCACCTTGCTGCAGAAACCATTTCTTACCAAGTCTACAACAGAGAAAATTTTACAACTATCCCAGGTTTGATTTCTCAAATCTGTACCTTCGCATGTCCTAGAAGATAACAATTCTGGAATATGTATAATTAAAAGTAATTGGATTTGTTAAGGAATGGGAAATAAAGGCAATAAATTATGACACTACAGCCAAACATTGGATTAGAGGGTACCCTGGGGCAAAAAACAAAGACCAAGACACTCTGCTAGTGTTTTCCTCCCTTTTAAATAACAGCACAATGACTATCTGGTGTAACAGCATCGTGCCTTACCTATGTCTTCCTAATCAACATGAACAGGTTGCCAAACTGCACAAGACTGACAAATGTTGTGTTCAAACCAATGAATACAACAAAAAAAAACGTTTTGTACGGCCACAGCCAATTAGCATCTGATTACCAAAATCAAGTCTGACACTACCTTTTATTTTTTTGCAAAATCAGTGGCAGTTTCTCCAGTACAACAGACCGTGATTAATATCTGGATAACAAACCATTACTTACAAGTTAAATGTGAAAAACTGGAAACATTTTTATTCCTTTTAATAATCACAGAAAGAAAGTGAATCTTCACCTTTTTCAAGGTCTTAATGCAAGTACATTCATGCAAATCCTCAATTACACACCACTTCTCCTCAGCTGTATTTCAAGAGTAAGTACTATTTTGTATGATACTAACAACTGATACCCCATCAGCACAGCAGCAACCACCATGACCACAGAGTCAGAACAGAACTTTAAAAATCTTCAAGCTTGTCTTCCTTTAAACAATCACAGTGACTTTTGAAATTCTACCTGTGCTTTAAAGAATTGAATCGTCAGGATGCGTTGAACATAGCTCACCAACCTGAAATGGTATTTAATATCCACATATTTTTGAAAATAACTGTATCTAGAAGCAAACCAGTAAAACAGGCACCATGAACAACGTGAGAGGACTGTCCAAAGGTGTGATGCTGTCCTCATTCTAACTTAATTCAACTATGTCATTTGCATCGCTGTAGCCATCTGGGTACAGAAAAGAAGAACCAGTTACCAAGTGTTGTATAGGGGCATAGAAAAATGCAAACACTGTTCCAAAAGACTTGTAATTTGGGGTAGGCTTTGAAGCACTCACTGCAGTCGGACACCTCTGCATGTGGAAGCCCACTTAGTAAGGGCCGAGGACTTTCTCCCAGCATCCCATCCAAGATTTACTTGCATTTATGTATAAGCTAATTTGAATGTGACTATTAAAGAGGACAGGTTCTCCTACACAGAAAAGATATTAAAAAAAAAAGTAGTGAAGCCATAGAAGATCAGCCAACCACTGGCAGCAATGGAAAAAACACTCACTGCACACCGTAGCCTAGTTGTATTTATTCTGCATGTGGCCATCTCAGAGATGTGTGTTTTAAAAAGGAACATAGATGCACCTTACACGTTTCAGATTATCAAAGATTATCCTGTTGTAAAACACAGAAATAACAGGAGAAGCAAAGACATTACTGTCACCAACACCAGTTAAACTGACTAGTGATTAGCACAACAGAAACACCATTTTGAGGACAAGTACTTCACATGTTTATTATCATCTCCCCAGTGAGACAAGGTACCAACGTGCACAAGCAGAACAAACAGATCAGAAAGCCTCTTTGGAAGTCAGATCTACTGCTGGTTCTTTTGTCCTTATGGAACACCACCATATGAATCTGACTCAGTGCAACCACAGAAGAGCGCTAATAAAAAGGTAAGAAGTCAATAATTTATTAAGTTCACCTACAGATGAGCTGTTAAACAATGTGGGAATAACACGTATTTGGATATTTCTATCATTAGAAGGAGGTTGGGTTTTATGCTTTTAAAAGCCACAGAGGACCAGCCTTTCATCTGAATGAACACCAGGACAGGCAATGCCAAGAAAGTTGTTGTCAATGGTCAAACCTACTAACAGTTAAAAACAACCCCCAAAATATTATTCCACGTTGTGAGTTCCATATCTTTGGTCTTTATCTGAATATTACCATATGTCAGCCACTTCGTTATCTGTGAGCACGCTCGGATGTGAGAGAAAGGGGTTCCATGTTTCTTAACACTAAGGCAGACAGTAATAGCTGGTACACAGAAAATGTACTCGCCTGCTTCAATGCTGCAGAAACAGTTTCCCTGCCTCTAATGAAGACCAGCCTTTCTCATAAATAGTATTACTCTCTATATATGTGATGGGCCACTACTCCAGGTTCATAAAAAGTCATCTAAAGAATTACTTCATTTAGCACGTCCTAGATTTTTAGGAATTTACTGGCAGAGGAAAGAAGGCTTATCCCCAATCTTAGATGTTTTGATTATTTTTTTTTTTTTTTACACATTTTTTCCTCCCTGATGAATGCTTGTTTCCAGTTGTTCCTGTACATGGAGAAAATGCCTATTTAATGGACAATAGAAATTAATGGACTGTCTCAGTGTACCTTTTAGGTTAACTCTGTGTATTTTAGAAGCAGATGAATGAGAAATAGCCCATTCATGAAAGAATGATTTAAAGCTAATAATCTATATCATTAAATAGGTCTCAGTTCTTTTCAGCTGGTTCCTACCATACGATTAAAGAAGGTACAAGAGCACAGCTAACTCCGCTCCTTCCCCCACTGACATCACCTTCTCCAACACGTTAAAATAAAATAGCTTTTTAAAAAAAGGAGGTGGGGGAAGGAAAAAAAACCATATCCCAATACAGACAGTTCGGTCTCATCCTGCCTCTACCCGTTCTCCGGCTCCAAAGGCGGGGAGACATCTTCCCCCGCCCCGGGCCTCACCCCGCGGCCCCCAAGGACAGGCCCCTTCTCCGTGTCCTCCGCCACCGGGCTCCCCCGGCCTCCCTCCTTCCCCGCGGGCCCCGGGCCCTTCCCGCGGGCCGGGAGCT